ACGTTGGAGTTGCTATAAAATTAATGATGAACCTTACAACACACTTTGATGGTGAAAGCACACCCAACTCATCTGTTGCCTAGTTTCTTCGGCTTCTCCATTTGAAACTCATTTGTATTTGAAGATTTCTACACTAGGATCTGTAAAGATAAGTTATAGGCAGGTCTTTGTGTTTCAGTCTTCAAATATGTATTAAAAATAATCTTTATTCTCTCTCTATATATATATATATATATTTTTTTTTTTTTTTACTTTGATGTAATTTTAATTAGAATCAACTTTTTAAAATGTAAATCACCGATAAGAAGTCTTACTATATATATATATATATATATAAACCCTTACATGGTCAAACTATAGATAATTGGAGTAATTCTCGTCGGTAAATTTGAGTGACATTTAATGCATCAGTACATGACCGACACATCAAAGTATTACCAAACTTTTGGCCCATTGTCCAGAAAAAGAAAAAGAAACGAGAATTATTTTTAGAAAAATTCTTATATTATTGATTAAACTTTGTCATTATTTAAAAAAATTCAAAGGCTAGGAAAGAGAACTACTTTCACTGGTGTTGATAATATGGATGGTCCCCGTGTATATATGAATCCATCTAGCTGTGGGTAACTAGTAACAATTAGCAGACAATTTTGGATGATCATTTTGAAGGATTGTGGAGGGATATACGTGGTTGGATATTCATGAAAATTTGTTTGGACTTTCACTGCTATGTTCTCTAGACGTACCATAATCTCTTATTTTTCTTTTTGTTTTGTTTTGACTTCATTTCTTTTTCTTTTTACATGGAAAAGATGCTTGATACTTGTGAAAAGTTTGACAAAAGTTTTTGGATCAATATGAAACAGAAAAAGAATGGCTGCAGCCATGCATATATTGCATAATGCAATGATATAGCTTTAGACCAGTAAGACTCCATTTAGAATGTAGCAAAAAGAAAAGATTCTAATCATACTTCAAATATTAATTTTTTTTCCTATTTTTCAATGAAAGAGAAGCTTTTCTTGATTTTTCCATAAAAATAAAGGTTAAAAAAAAACTAAAAAAAAAAAAGATAAACTTTTCTCATGCAAAGTTAGAGCTGCATTTTCATTGTTATTTATAAAGTATATATTAAGCACTTGAAACCAACAAAAAAAAAAAAAAAACATTAATTAATGATAATGAGGAATGCATGCATGAGTAAATCATGTTATAATAAGTAACTATATATATATATACATATATATTCTAGATATTCATTATCATTAGTTTTTACATAATATTGTTAAACCTCAATTACATATTTTCTTCTAGAAACTAATTACCTTAAAATTTCCAGCATAGCGAATGTGAATTTGTGATAGCTAGATAATCTTGCTTGTTGAAATCTGAGTTAATTAACAAATGGTTCTTTCGAGACTAGATGTAGTATTTTCTATAAGCAAATTAATACAGCACAGCATATTGGTGATTGAACGACCTGTTAATTTAAAAGTTTCAACAAAAAAGAGGATGATGTAATTAAATAAAAAAGCTTGTCGATTGAGAGATTTAATTAAATATAAATTTTCAAATTAAGTCCACAGGGGACAATCTCATTAATTATTTAATTGCTTGTAAACCCATACACAAATACCTTATTCAACTATATATATCCAAACAAATGCTGATTAAAGTTTAAACATAAGACTTTCAAACCATATACAATAGATTGGACTGGCCAGAAATCTGTAGAGTCTGCTGCTCCAAGTTTAGAGACCAGAGTCTAGCTTTTGCTTGTTTTTAGCAGCCGAAAGTTTATAACTTTAATTTAATTAATTAGGGTCATAATCAACATTATAATGCCCAGCTAATTGTTAACCAATCAATTATCTATTCATAAGGTTCAAGAGTCAGTGACTTGAAATAAATGAGTTTTATCATCTACATATATAGTATAGGTTGGTGGGATTTTTGAGTATCCACGATTGTCCCCAGTACTACCTACCAAAAACACCTTTGGAAAACGCGTGTCGTTCTTTGCCAAAACCCTGGGTACCATTTTCACACATTTCTAAGACGCGTATGGTCTTTTTGTAACATTTTCAAATTAAATTAGATCTTAATTTTCTTTGTAAGTTGGTGGAGTATTTTTTAAGGTTCGTTCTATATAAACACTTTTTCTTTTTTCTTTTTTATTCCCAACACCTCTTTTTTCTTTTTTTCTTTTTTTTGTTTTTTAAAATTGGAAGATAGTCAACACCTCTTTTTAGATGCACGCTCTTTATAATTTTATAATAAGTAAATTTAGTTTTTACACGTCCTTATTATTTTAAAATTATAAATTAATTTTGTAAAATTTTAATTTTTTACTTTCAGTTTTCTTTTCATTCACCAGTTTATTTTAATTCAATACTTAAAATTTTTTTTTTCTCTCTCTGTTTTTTTTTTTTTTTTTCAGTTGAAACTGAGTCTTAGACAATGAAGCACTTTTTCAAACATAATGAAAATGACTATTTTAGAAAAATTGAGGACATTTACTATAAAAATTAAACGCTACATTACTACTAAATTTTCTAAAATGAAATCTACTATTTTCATGTAACAGTGAATGTAAATTTACTATTAAAAATTTTCTATAGTAAAATATTGTCTTTTATTTTTTTTTCTAAAGAGTGTAATAGTAAAAATTTTTATGCATGCAAAAAGATTCACACTCAAAGCTCCGACAAAAAAAATAGAGAAATGATATTAGTAACGAATTAAAATGAAATGGTGGGTACAAAAAGAAGAATGAAGTGGGTCAAGAATTTAATTTTGTAATAATAAGAGTGTGCAAAAAGTAAATCTAAAATATAAGATGTATATTTAGAAGGGGATGGAAAAAACAACTTTGTGAATAGAACCACCCTTTCTTGGCCTATAAATGAGATGAATTCATTTGAGACCAACCAAGAGAACTATCATATTTGTATTCTTTTTTTTTTTTTTTTTTGAGTTAGTAAAGCTTTGTTTCTTTGTTCTCTTGCTATTCCCCTAGCTATTTGCTTAAGTATTTGAATTTAGTAAGACTGACTTAATATTTGGGAAGTGTTAAGTGCTGCACGGTCATATTGTGAAAAAAACCGTGACAATATTAAAAATATAAAATATAGTTTTTATTAAATTAGAGGGTCATAATTATAAATTTTGTTATTTACGCAACTAAAATCCTAGATATATAAATTAAAATTTTAAAACTCGAGTTAGGGCTTTTTCCTAACTTAACCGTACATGTGATGTGGCGACACCACTATGTTTAGTGCTAAGTCCTAAATTTTTACCTCAAGATATTCCCAAATTTCTACAAACAAGGAGAAACTTTTCTTTTTATGGTTAACAATTTTTAAGCAATTAAGGCCCCGTTTATTTCGTTGATTCGAGTTTAGAATTTGAATTTTTCTACAGTAAAAAGTTATCACAAATAATCACATCTAACTTTTTTACTACAGTAAAAAGCTCTCATATAAAGTCACATCTCAACTCGAATTAAAAACACAAATCAACGAACTAAACGGACCCTAAACTTTTATTTGCAAATAATATGGCGCATTAAATTGACAATTAGAAAGGTGAAGTGACGGTACCCAGAAGTTTTTTTTTTTTTTTTTTTTTTTTTTTTTTTTTTTTTTTTGCCCTTTTCAATGATGTATGTATATTGATAAAACCGAATATGTCATTTTTTAGCTTTTGGTGATTGATGGATTCGAAGATTAATAAATCAGCAAAGAAGGATTTTCTATCTAACAACATTGTGATCACTTACTAATTAGTAAGAGAAATGTTAGTATCACTTTTTAAATTTATTATTTAATACATAAATTTTATTATTTTATTTTTTGATTTATATAACAATATATTATGTTAATAGAATCCAAGTGTTAAACAACAAATATCAAAAAATGATAAAAAAAAAATAACAGAAAAAAAAGACCCTAACATTTTTAACCAAGTAATATGCATGAACAAAAGAACACGCATATAAAACTATATAAGCAACGGCAAATGCCAGCTAGGTGTTACACTTGACACTATAAATTTGTTGATTTTTATTTGTAAAACCAAGGAAAAGCAAAGTAGCTACCAAGAATCAGTGTTTTGAAAGAAATTATTCTTAATTCATGTATCATCGTTTCACATTTCCTAGTGGCCATTTTATATTGAGCTTCAGATAAGAGAGAGGTACAACTGAATAATTTTCTTATTGGAAGAAGTGTCGTGTCTACTGTCTAGAAGGTAACAAAAAAACTCTATTCGTGAAAGTGGTTTAGGTCAATTCTTTATGTAATACCACCAAAAGAAAATCATAAGAGAATTTTTTATTTAATGTGGATTTGATGAAGTCACGTGTATTAAACTTGTGGATCCCCATGTACACACGAACTGATGGAAGATATATATAGCTTATTTTCTAAGTCATATTAGATCATGAGTGTATTGTCGTCTGATATACCAAATCGTCTATGTAAACCATGAGTAACAAATATTAACATCTAAATAAGTAGAGAGAGAACCTAGTGAAAGAAGAGAGAGAGAGAGAGAGAGATATGAATGACAAGGGAATAGAAACCAAAGAAGAAAACAAAAAGAAGCAAGTACGTTATTGTAATTTTTGATTAACCGAAAAAAGTGCATTATTGTTATGTACAGCAAAAATAAGTACATTACTGTTATATTAGGGTTGGTTGTCAAGAAAGCTACTACACTCCCAAATAGTTAATTTCATTATAACTCCTAAAACCACTATAGTACGTGCTGGTGATTTACATTACACTAAGCAATTATCGGATTATTATTTACAACATTTTCAAAAATTCCGTTTATTTTATAGTTTTGAATTATAATTTAATTTTTTAGTGCAGTAATTTTTTTTAAAAAGTCTAAATTTCTATTCAAATTTTCCGCTCAAATCTATATGAATCAAATAAATAGCCAAGTAGTCACGCTAGCAATTGAACATCACAGAACCATTACTACTCCTAGTGTCTTTCATCGTTCTTCTAATCTAAACTCATAAATCACAATGTAAACCTTCTTTTTTTTTTTTTTTTTTTTTTGTGAGCTAAAAAAATTAAAATTTACAATGCATGTAATCTCGCGTGTCCTTTATTGTCATTGCAAAAGACTGAAAAGCATACAAACAAGACGTACCACCTTCACTGCATGTTACTATAATTGCAAACTTTCACATTCTATAGCCTACTACTTAAGCAACTAATAAAACACACTACCCCATATTCAACCGGCACAGAAGAAGCAGCCTCACCTTCTAATTATCACACATCCTTAAGAACATCAAACACCAACAACAAAACTTCACAACCTTAACAAATCACCAAAAAAACCATGACCAACAACAACAATATCTCCCTTCTCACCGCCATATTATTCTTTTCCATCCTTATTCCACTATTCCTGTCTTCTCCTCCTTCTTCTTCTACTGTTTCGACCAAAACGCTCGTTTTGCCCTTGAAAATCCAGAAGCCACCAATAGGGTTTCTCTCCACCTCAAAGGCATCCAATTCTTCCAACAACAAGCTCTCCTTCCGCCACAACGTGACTTTGACAGTCTCGTTGACCGTTGGCTCGCCCCCACAGAGCGTTACCATGGTCCTCGACACAGGCAGCGAGCTCTCCTGGCTTCACTGCAAGAAATCCCCAACCCTCAACTCCATCTACACCCCTCTCTCCTCCTCTTCCTACACCTCAATCCCCTGCTCCTCACCCGTTTGCCGTACCCGAACCCGAGACTTACCCATACCCGCTTCATGCGACTCCAGAAAACTCTGCCACGTCTCCGTTTCCTACGCCGACGCCTCCTCCCTCGTCGGCAACCTCGCCTACGAAACCTTCCGTATCGGGTCGTTGACCCGACCCGGAACCATATTCGGGTGTATGGACTCCGGGTTCAGCTCCAACTCCGACGAGGACGCGAAAACGACGGGCTTGATCGGCATGAATCGGGGCTCGTTGTCGTTCGTCACTCAGATGGGTTTCTCCAAGTTCTCGTACTGCATATCGGGACAAGACTCATCCGGCGTTCTTCTCTTTGGAGACGAGAAGTTCTCGTGGTTGGGTCCACTTAACTACACGCCGTTCGTGAAAATCTCGAGGCCATTGCCGTACTTCGACCGGGTCGCGTACAGCGTCCAACTCGAAGGAATTAAAGTCGCCGGAAAGCTTCTGCCGATCCCGAGATCCTCATTTGTGCCAGATCACACCGGGGCAGGACAGACCATGGTCGACTCGGGCACCCAGTTTACATTCCTTCTCGGGCCGGTTTATTCGGCGTTGAAAACGGAGTTCGTTAGGCAGACGAGGGGATTGGCGACTGTTTTTGAGGATGCGAATTTCGTTTTCCAAGGGGCGATGGATTTGTGCTACAGAGTACCGCCGAATCGGAAGGGGTTTTCGGATTTTCCGGCAGTGAGTTTGGTGTTTACGGGGGCGGAAATGAGCGTGTCCGGCGATAGACTGCTGTATAGGGTGCAGGGGATGACGGGGAAGGGGGGGGATTGGGTTTATTGTTTTACGTTTGGGAATTCGGATTTGCTGGGAATAGAGGCGTTCGTGATTGGTCATCATCACCAGCAGAATGTGTGGATGGAGTTTGATCTGGCGAAATCGAGAGTGGGATTCGCTGAGGTTAGGTGTGATTTGGTGAGTCAAAGGCTCGGAGCCTTGGGTCTCAACACGTAGAAGATTTTTTTTTCTTTTTTTATTCTTCGAAACAGAGGAAAAAGGAAAAGAAAGGAGAGAGTTTTGCAATATTTTCAAGGTAAAATTATGGTAGGACTTAAAATTTTGTTCCATTAAAAGTAAATGTGTTTTAGGATTAGATTAGTGTTTTAATAGTAGCAATTTTGTGTCGCTGCATTATAAATTTTTAATGCAGTCATGCATACATATTATAATTAAAAAATTAATTTAATAATTAAAAATAATTATTTTTATGATAAAATAAAAGTGCATACCTTAAAGGTTTTTTTTTTCATTAATTGAAAGAAATATCTGAAAAAGGATCTTACAATAGGCTCTATCTCATCAAAGAACACGCCACCCCAATTCTATTTTACTGAATTAGCTAACAAATAGCACACGCTGGAATATGATCCCATACATAATGCATTCAGAATTAATGCCAAGAACAAATGGCCTTCACATTTAAGATCCTTAAAAGAACATTCAGAGAACGTTTGAAAGAGAAATTCGTATCATGATTCGAATCATAATTCGTAATTCAGTACAATATTTTTTTTATAAAAAATACACATAAAATAAAAATAATTCTGAATTTATTAACCAAACTCTCGTCAGTATTTGAATTTTCATTCCAGAGCCAATTGCGGTAGTCTTTACTACTAAGCTACGGTCGCGCAAGTTTTGCTGTCGTTTCTGGGTTGGTCCTATTTCCGTGGCTCAATAGTTCACTGCCACGCGGGAGTGCAAAGAAAAATATGGTGCTTGGAATTTCCATGTTGAACTGTGGCTGTGAGATTCTTTTTTTCTTCTCTCTGAAAAGTCGATCTGAAACCTCTGGATAACTCTGAGGGAATATTCAATATGCAAAGTTGGGGAGTGTTTTGTTTGACTTGTTCATTGGAAAGCAGGTGGGAATTTGACAGGTATTGGTGCGAGTGTTTTAGGAGCTAACCATGATGGTGATTGGTGCTATACAGCTAGAGAAAAATAGCTGATTAATGTCGACGGATTATTTTTTTATTTTTTTATTTTTTTTATTTTTTATTTTTTATTTTGCTTGCTAGGGGGGTGAAGCACTGTTAGATGCTCAATCTTGTGTTTGTCATTGTGGTATCACATCAAAATTATATTGTAGATTAAATATTTCATTTTTAATAACAACATTTGATGCACGTTTGATAATTTTTTCTTCTTTGACATGATTTGATAATTTGATTGAAGAGAAAATATATCTCACTATACAAAAAGACAATACAAATAACAATCCACACTTATAGACACAAGATAATTTTTTTAATAAATTGTTAGGGCTACATAATGCTATGAATCACTGACTTCCTATCAAGTAACAATAATTATACTTAAGGATAGAAAGAGTATCTTATAGGAAAATTCTTATAATTAGTAGCATGGGTGTATATCTAAATGTCAAATAATATCTTTAGTATAATAATGCCAAATAATGTTGCCTTCCAACTAAAAAAAAAAAAAAAAACCAAATATTATTGCCTCGTGCCTAGGCAATTATTTACTGCAAGACATTTAGACAGTGAATTTTTTCTCGCATACATGAGTCGAAGTAGACGAATAATGCTATAAAACGCTGGTGTTGTTTAATACTATTTTTTAATAGATGGTGAGTTTTACCATATAGAATTCTAAATATAAAACAACAGTGCCCTTAAACAATTTTTCAGACCGCAAGCAGCAACAGTAAGCAGTCATGCTGTACCATGGTGTTTTATATTTGAGTGATAGTTTGACAGACTGTCAGTGCCGACCAACCAGATGTTGATTTCGAGAACCGCATATACATTATACCTATATATATATATATATATATATGGCATTCTACCAAAAAGGCTGTCATCATCACCATTATATGCCGTCGGATCCCATCTCAAAAGCGCTGCCTCACATTCACCCCTCGTTTGCTTGCCTTTCATTTTCTTCTTCCTTGTTTGTTTCATACCAGGCTTTTTGTGATTTGTAAGCATACGTCCAAACCGGCATTCGATTTTGTACAATTGTATTTATACGGTTGTAGTAATAATGAGACACCACTTAGAAATTAAATGAATCTTAAATTTTACTAGGATAATCTATTATTTTTCAATGGAACGATTTTATAGCATATAACAGATTTCATAAACTTCGAGATTGTAAATAACATAAATTATCTAATTAGCACGTAGCACATTCTTAAAGAAGTTTATTTGCTTTTCCCATTTCAACTTTGTTTTTAATTATAGCTAATAGCAGTTTTGAAACAAAAGAAAAGTGAAATAAATTTGAAAACCAAACTCTATATTTGAAAACGCTAATTATTAGCAAAATCATTAAAACAAGCAACCTTACCACCGCCCTAAACACCTTCTGCTGCTGCCGCTTTTAACAGATATGTCATCAATGGAGAAGAAGCGAAGATAATCGACGGTTGCATACAATTGAATATGACGGGGCGAGATCACAAATCGCAAAGGCAATGGTGATGGAAGTGCAACGACAATCAGCGATGAGCGATTTTCGAGAGGAGATCGGGAGTACTTCAGACTTTTTTATAAGAGAATATACTAGAAAGTCTTTCTATTAATTTTAATTCTCTCCCCAAACAATATTATTTCTCTCTTTCCTTAAAAAATAATTAAAAAAAAGTGCTCACGTAGTTCCAAAAAAAAATCAAATAATTAAGAATACAAAGGTTTGGCGTTCCCTCTTTTACATGGGAAAATAAGTGCTTATTATTTGTGATTTACATGGGAGTATTGAGGAGCTTTGTCAAGTTTGGGAAGCAGGTGTTGGAACTTTTGAAGTAGAGGCAAAGTCACTTCATGAGCCACCAAATCTATGTTGGTTACCGAATCGAATTCGGATGCGGAAGCGTGGGGAATGGCGGATCAAGTATAACAAAAATTTTCATAAAACTTTTGAGATACTCTATAAATTATATTAACTTATGCACGAATAAATTAATCACATTAATTTATTTATTAAGAGCTCAATTAGGAATAATACCTGGCGGCCGATTAGGATGATAACTTGAGTTCTTTGACCTCGAACAATCCTTGCTCCAAAACTTTGTGTTTAGAAAACCAATGTCTTTCACGTCAATTCCTAGAATCTATGAAGACGTGTGTGTGGGCACACCTGAGACAAAACGGGTTAGAATAAACACTCGAATTTTTACAAACACCAACGCATGCACGATGTGGAATTTTTTTGGAGAAAAATTTTTCCTTCCCATAATAAGAGAATTTCGCCCACCACTCAAAATATAGGGCAAAAATTGTTCAAAAATTGTGAGACACAATTTTCTATCATTCTCTTATTTATAGAGTATAAGTCAAACTTTTAAAATGAATCAAATCTCTATCTCCAATATAAAGCTTGTTAATTATCTCCTATTTGAATTTGGAACAAAATCTCCTCTTCTCTTTTATCCATTATGGCCGGCCATAGATAAGGGATTTTATCCCTGTGTAGGTGCCAACATCAGATAGGGAAGGAAGAGAAAATCATCATTTATCCTGCAGTCCAATTTTGACTCAAATTTAAATTCCAATTTAAGTCAAACTTAAATTAATTTGAATTCTAAATTGAACAACTTATCAAATAAGTTTAAATGGATAAAACTAGATGTGTTCAAATTCAAATTTAAATAATCACATTATTTCAGTAATAATTAATTCTCAATTAATTATTTTCGAGTGTTTAATTTTTAGAATTCCATAATTCTAAAATTCCCATTTTACCCTTTGTGTCTCGTAGAATTACAAGGACGACGCGGGGACTAATGGACCTATAATCCCGAGCTCCAATAAAATTAATAATTAATTAAACACTTTAATTAATTAATTAATTCTATTAATGCCAATAGTTACTCCTCTATAAACTTGGAATTGCACTTTCGAAATTATAGACATAAATTACTTCTAAACTGTGAAGTGTCAATTTGATATAGTCACTGCATATAGATTAATCTTCCATAAATAATTCATAATTAGAGCTAGGTAGAATTCGTTAACCTCTCTAATTGTATATTTATCCTTAAGTACCATTGATTCTCTAATGGACAGTGATTCATAAAACACATTCATGAATCGGAGCTCCTACTGGTCCAAGTACTGAATCAACCCCCAAGAGAATTATTTATCTACTTATTTCTTAAGAAGGAATGGATTTCATCTCGTATAATAACATTCCTGGCTACCTACTTCATCATGTCTCCAAAATATAAGGAATAGGATTCAGGATCTCAAAATCCATACCGAGTAAATCAAAAGACACAAATCCATAAATAAGTGTCTGTTAAGATCATTGTATATATGACCATCAATAGACTCAATTAGAATTTTTATACTTAACAGAAATTATTAGAAATTCATATTGTCTGTGTCCTTATTCCACATAATCTCATTATGTGAAATACACTCATTCAATATCTCGTCATATTAATAGTGTGGAGAACACCGTTCCATTCTAAATGGGAATGATATGTATTAATAATGTTTTAATTAAAGATTCTGAACTTTAATTAAATTCATTATGAACACCGTTTTTTATTATTATCCTTAAACATTATCCTCTCGCATATAACACTTATATACAATGTTTAAGGTCACATAAATAATCATGGAATTTTCCTTTGATATTCAAAAAATATTTATAAATAAATGCACATAAAATAATTAATAAACTCTTTTATTAAATAAATAATAAATATCCTATTACATCTCGTCCTTCTAGGACACCATTCTCAACAATCTTTGTCGTCTGGCATACTATTGTTGTGTGGGAAAACGTGCATCGACACGTCGGATGGAGACCATGCAACACGTGGCCCTATACTGGCCACGTTAAGTAGCTATCGGCGCCTAGAACTCATGCCCCTCCCCCTTATGACGTGAAATGGTCGATCATATATGACCGTCGACCTTACATACGGTCGAGGCCTATATTATTGCATCAGATTTACCGTGATAGGGTCGACGGGGAGAGAGGCTACGCATTGCTTAATACAGTATGAGCGCCGAGGGCAGAACGCAGATGACTGGGCCCATACCCTAAGAAAGACCTGATATGACAAGTTGGAAATCCCAAAGTTATGTCTAGGTTTGGAGAAA